TATTTTATGTGATAGTTATATATTCTAAATAAACTGCAAACAAAAAATATATAAATTTATTTTTTCCTTACATTCTTTCTTGTAGCAATTCCCTCTCAGACACACACCTGACTGAAAGGCTCATTATGCAGCTCATTATGCAGGCCTTTGTCTTCTCAGGTGTGAATCACAGCATTATTCATGATCATTCACGCCTCCTCGCACATACCTTTTCTACACAAAATGTGTCTTAGAAATTTTAAAATCCCTTTTCTAAAAAAAAAAAAAAAAAAAAAAGTGTCTTTCGAAAATTTAAATATATATATTGTTTTCTGTGAGCGAGTAAACAAGATGATTTTCACATCATTTTGATACAAAAATTCTAGCCTTCAAGATCCAGTTCTCAAAAGTCTTGTGAACAAATGTTCTGTATGTGTTTTATGGCCTTATTTCAGTGACTTTAAAAGTTTAGTTTTTTCACTAAGCACGCATAAACATTGTTTTCTCAAAAACACAATCATGTACATACAAGCTACTCACATATTATTGTAGCCCAGTTTGTGCCGATTATAGTGCTATTAAACTTTAGCCATTACAATGTTTATTTTTTCACTAACGAGGCATAAACATTGTTTTCTCAAAAACACAAACGTACTTTCATGCTGCTCACATATTATTGTAGCCCAGTTTGTGCTGAACACAGTGTTATCAGACTTTAGCCATTAATATGTTTTTTGTCAGGGCATATCAAAACTTCTCCAGGGCCCCAAAACACCCTCAGACCCCAGAGGGTTAAAAAAAAAAGTGATTTTAAGCTATTGAAACGCAATTAGCAGCGAAAGAGAACTTATTTCGCTATATGTTCGTGCTGTCTGAGAGACTGTTTCTGAACACTGTTGGAGAGGCGCACGCCTGTGAAGACCCAAGTATTGAACAAAGTTATTTTTGCTGCTTAATAGGCCTTGAATGGTTAAATAAACACTTGTACGTGTCAAAATTCTCATCTTTTTCTAAGTATCTTCGTAAACACAGTAGGTCTTAAGTGAAAGCAAACAGCTGAGAAAGAAAACACATGTTTAACAGTATATTGGATCCAGGCAGCTCTTAAAGTGACAGCACTCTAATATTCCTGCGGTCTGTCATTTGTTAATCAAACAAGAGAAAATCTCTCACTGCTCTTGACTAAATCACTTTTGTAACTTTAAGAAAAATATACAGTGAAGAATATGCAGTGTTTTGATTTGATTACTTTATACAATGTATGTAGCATTTCTTAGTTGTTTTTGTTTTTTGTTTGTTTGTTTTTTAACTTGGGCTAGTATTAGTTTTTTGTGATATTGACTCTTTTGTGACAAGAATGATGACATTTCTATGGTATCAAATTTTAAAAGCGAAAATAACTATATTGTGATATTGTTCCAGTGAAAGAAAATTACTCGTATCATGATAAGATATTGGTCATATCGCCCACCTCTAGTCTGATCTTATGCTGTCCACAACCCTGGGACCAATCCCTTTTCTAAAAAAAAAAAAAAAAAAAAAAGTGTCTTTCGAAAATTTAAATATATATATTGTTTTCTGTGAGCGAGTAAACAAGATGATTTTCACATCATTTTGATACAAAAATTCTAGCCTTCAAGATCCAGTTCTCAAAAGTCTTGTGAACAAATGTTCTGTATGTGTTTTATGGCCTTATTTCAGTGACTTTAAAAGTTTAGTTTTTTCACTAAGCACGCATAAACATTGTTTTCTCAAAAACACAATCATGTACATACAAGCTACTCACATATTATTGTAGCCCAGTTTGTGCCGATTATAGTGCTATTAAACTTTAGCCATTACAATGTTTATAAGCAACTGAAAAAAGCACAAATGTCAGGGCATGTCAAAACTTCTCCAGGGCCCCAAAACACCCTCAGACCCCAGAGGGTTAAAAAAAAAAGTGATTTTAAGCTATTGAAACGCAATTAGCAGCGAAAGAGAACTTATTTCGCTATATGTTCGTGCTGTCTGAGAGACTGTTTCTGAACACTGTTGGAGAGGCGCACGCCTGTGAAGACCCAAGTATTGAACAAAGTTATTTTTGCTGCTTAATAGGCCTTGAATGGTTAAATAAACACTTGTACGTGTCAAAATTCTCATCTTTTTCTAAGTATCTTCGTAAACACAGTAGGTCTTAAGTGAAAGCAAACAGCTGAGAAAGAAAACACATGTTTAACAGTATATTGGATCCAGGCAGCTCTTAAAGTGACAGCACTCTAATATTCCTGCGGTCTGTCATTTGTTAATCAAACAAGAGAAAATCTCTCACTGCTCTTGACTAAATCACTTTTGTAACTTTAAGAAAAATATACAGTGAAGAATATGCAGTGTTTTGATTTGATTACTTTATACAATGTATGTAGCATTTCTTAGTTGTTTTTGTTTTTTGTTTGTTTGTTTTTTAACTTGGGCTAGTATTAGTTTTTTGTGATATTGACTCTTTTGTGACAAGAATGATGACATTTCTATGGTATCAAATTTTAAAAGCGAAAATAACTATATTGTGATATTGTTCCAGTGAAAGAAAATTACTCGTATCATGATAAGATATTGGTCATATCGCCCACCTCTAGTCTGATCTTATGCTGTCCACAACCCTGGGACCAAACATAACTATGTGGTCAGAGGGAAAGAAATTTGCTCTGATGGAGCAAGCAGAACCCTGGAAAGAGGTTGCCAGGAAGCATCAGAGAGGACATCAAGTACAAGGAGCTGGATGGTTGACTGGATAGGGGAACTCCCTATTGAGAACAGCCACAACAATGTGGAGACCAAGAATTATGCAATAGCACAAAGGCTGGAGAATCACCAGAAATAATCTACTGTTTTAATGAAACCAGAGAGAAGAACTGAGCTTGCAGCCAAGACATGAGTGATGGGTTGTCCTGTACTACTGACCCACTAATTTGAGTCTCTTAACTGAGGGTCGAAACACATGGGGAATGTTAGGGTGGACAGAAGATTCTGGCTAGCAACCAAGAAAACCTGTGAAACATAGTAAAGTTTCCCATGGATTTATTGGGATGGCAACCCTATACGCTGCAATCACAAGAGGGCACCAAGCAAGCTTAGCAAGCTTAAGTCTATTCAGAAGGTCAAAAAGATGAGAATTAATGAGAATTATTGTCGGATAATAATGTCTGTTCATTAAAGTTAGTCTGATCAAGTAAATGGGTTAAACAGTTTGTATCCATTTCCCCAGTTACATTACGTCAACTCCTGTATTTTTCTCCTGTATTTAATGTGATTATTCCCAAATGTCTGCAGTGTGTATGTGGCCTGTAAGTTATTTAGGTTATCAGAAAGCTATTAAACCCACTCATTTTTTCACTACATTCAGGTGCCATAAAACGTACTCCGAGAGTGAGAAGTGAAACTGTTACACATGAAACTTTCAAGAGACAACTGAGACACAAGAGACCACCAAACTGTCTGGATCTTGTAGAGTACTAAACACGTAGCTTTATTTCACACTGATAAATTGAAAAAGTAACATTTTGATTTGATTTAGCAGTTAGATGAACCCAAATCATTTGGCTTATGAACTTTGAATAGTTTGATTTTGGCCCCCAGGGAGAGGTTTATCTTCAGCTATGAATGCACTGTTGAAAGCAGACGCAACAGTACTGCTCTGAGACAGTGCTGCAGTCATGCTAGTGTCATAGGGCTGGGCGATATTGCAAAAAAAATGTATCAACGATATAATGTTTCATATCGTTCGGTACCGATAAGTATTGACATTTTTATAACCTTTTTTAAAACAAAGAGCAATAGAAGAAAATGTTTAAATTCAACCACTTTATTTTTAATTGACCCAATTTAAGACAAACAACAAGTATCTTTTTGTTTTAACAGTCAAAAACAGAATAAAATTTAAACAAATATCTAATTTCTTATGTTTTATATGCAGATTAAATAGCCACAGGAGGGCGCAATGAGCAAAATAATGCAGCGCATTAAATTGTTTATATAATGCAATTAAAATAACAGTCTATAAAAAACGTGCACAACGTCTAAATTAACATATATAAACCAAATATAATTTCATAAATTGCATAAACAATTATGAACAAAACAGCATCATGTATTTATACATAGCTTAATTCAAATAGCCGAAGCGCCGATCGCACAGATTGCATTTAAAAACATGAGACGCAGTGAAATGGAATAAACCTCCACAAATTCGAAACGTGTTTTCTAAAAGTTTAAACTCTTTTAACTTTACATGGCTTTCTATACATTTCTTGCGTGAGACGCGAGTGCAACAGTCATAGTTGTCTGTCCCAAAAATGCTCCTAATATGCGTTCTGTGTGAATGGCTTGGTTTCGGTTTTAACCTAATCAATAACTTCTCCGCATTGAGCTTCTATATTTCTCTAATATTTTGAATGAATAACGCAGCAGCGGAGCATCTTGTGGGTTCAACTGGACAGTCTAACGAAAACAATAAAGTACGTCAAAGACACTACATCATCATCACCGCATCTCGTGCGCCTCTGATGACGCTCCCTCACCGACGCACACCTAACATTCGATTGCACCATTTTTGCATTCAAATGCAAATTTTGATTTTAAATTCGACTAATATTCATCTTTTATTCACAATCTCCTCATCACAGGCAGGCACAGCACTCAGCATGTGTCCGTGTGTGCGGTCTGCTTGTCACTCATAGCACAAGCCTATATTGTGCGCTATATCAAACACTTTCTTCTATCGTTATTGATGGTGTACCGTCGATAAATACCGATACCGTTTTATCGCCCAGGCCTACAGTATCACTACCAAACAATCCTATTGTACTTCCTGTGAGGAAAGGAAGAGCATGCACACACATCAGAGGTGCCATAGCATCATCAAATGCGGACTTAAATATCCTGTTCGGTCACTTCTGCTCAGCACCTTGTAACAAATTAATGGAGGTGTTGCAGTATTTCACAGCTGTATGTTATTATTTTACAAAGCTGTAAAGGGGACTTACCGACTCCAACAGTGCCAAACCGCGGTGAGACCAGTGGGCTGGGGTTGAACTGGGTGTATGGCGTGACTTGTGGATGGTTGAACAGCCCATAGGAGTTCCCAGACTGGAAGGATGATGGTGGGGCAGTGGAAGATCCCATAGAGGACTAACAGATGAATAAAGCATGATGAGGTCACTGCTCATGAACAAGGACAAACTGAAAACCAACACCATGCAATCTAAGAACTATCAAACAAAACTCAAATTTAATTTCTTAATACATGTTTTTGCTAGTTTCAGTATTAGAAAGCTAATGAGCTGCCGACCTAGACTGCATTTTGAGTGCAAGTCCTTTTCTGATGGAACTAGTTTGGAGGCGGTTCAGTTAACTTGTTTCATAGACACTTAAATTGTGTTCCATGCATCGTTGGCAACAGCATCCAACATTAAAAGAAAATGTAATTATTGAAACAAATTAATGGATTTGGTTGAAATATTTTTATCTCTGGCCAAATCCAGAGAACAGGTTTAGCAGATATTACAGAAATCCCAATCTTGCCTGAATCAGTACATGATATAATTAATTGTAAAAAAAAAAATTAGAATTAAAATAATATTTCAATAATTAGACTTAAACACCCATTTTCCGTACTCTTCCAGTGCTTGTTTTTGTTTAATATTATGACTGTGGTCCCATGAGATATTTTTCTTCATGATAACGTCTCCATTTCAAGGATTTTAACGTCACTGGCTGATGCTGTGAAGCATTAAATTCCCATTGCTTTTGCTTTGGTACAACAACAAAGTCAGACTAAGCAATAACATAGACAACTAAGATTGTATACGATTATTCAATAAACACTGCTCTTTTTCTTTTTTTTTTTACAAAAGTCTCCTGCTTCCCGCTCTTTTATACTGCCTCTGTCTGCTTCTTTGACTAATAGAAGACCGTTAATAACAGTTTTGGATACCAGGCAAAACTATATATCCAGATTTCTGTAAGCATCTGGTAAAAAAAAAAAGGTTGGATCCAAATCCTTGGCTTTCCTGATGTGTTGAAAGGATCTAACAATAGGCAGCTCACCAGACTTTGGCCTACATGTGCCTAAAATACACTACTTGCAGTTATAATAAGTTAATCTTATTATAAACTAGGGATGTTTATTTCGGTTATTTCTCCTAACCGACAACCGACGCTCGTTAACCGATTATTAACCGTTAACCGACAAGATTATTTTAAATTATAATTGAATTAAATTAGAAAGGATAAGTGTCTGTGACCCGTTAAAAATACTAACATTTGTCTCCCGGGGATTCATTTTACATGTGCAAAAACAGCAAACAACAGAACATGAGGATTCACATGGTCTTCATATCACATCACACACCTGCAGCGCGGAGAAAAACATAATAAAGCTAGGCTATAAAAAATTAAATAAAAATTATATATATAAAAAATAAATAGGCCTATACGACAAATGTATTTTTACTTAATAAATTAAGAAAACAAAAGAAAAAACTGTGCAACAAGTAGCCTAGCAGAGTTTCGGTTCATTTTTGTGCTCCACGAAAAAAAACACAAAAAAGACGGCAGAAAGCGGCATCCTATTTTTCTTTAGGCTTATTTTACAAAAGCACAAAGATATGTTTTTATTGTGAACGTCCACAAATAAAAGCAAACCGTTTACAATTCCGATTATCTTTATGACTAAAAGGAGTAGTTTCTTCCACTGTTAGAAGGAAAAAATTCAAGTGATTGCGCCGGCGCCGCATTGCTACCTTGACAATAATGCAGAATGTTCATTATCATAATAAAATACAGTCAGTCAAACATATGGAAAAAAAACACACTGCTCAGTTTAAATATGTAGTCAAATCTGTGCCGTTAAGCATTATCACCGCACCGCCGTGATGTTATGCAAAACATTTATGATGTAATGAAGTAAGGGATAATCATCTCTTTGCAGCGCAATATTTGACCGGAAGGGTAAAAATGACAGTTATTTTTGTCAGTTACGGCTCGTTAACTCTAGTATTCTGCCCGCTTCAAGCTTATTCCATGGTCATTTGCCAAGTTATAGACAAGTTAAAACTAGTATTGCTCTTTGCAGCGCAATATTTGACCGGAAGGGTAAAAATGACAGTTATTTTTGTCAGTTACGGCTCGTTAACTCTAGTATTCTGCCCGCTTCAAATCATACACAGAGATGAAATAGTGTGGTAAGATCACATTTATTTAAATGAATTATAGCATGTATTTCAATAAATTATCGAGAGAGAGAGAGAGAGAGATGACAGTTGTGTGCTTTACCTGCATCTGCGCGTCTCTCTACAAACAATTACTTCAAAAACAGCGATTTTACCACCTCGTTGCGGAGGAATATAATGTAGCGATCTAGTATCTAGGCTATTTTATTAATAAAAATCGCGGGGAAGAGTTGACAACAAGTTTGTGTGCGCAGTGCAATCTGCAATCTCTCGCTCGCTCTCTCTCTCTGTGTGTGTGTGTGTGTTGGTTAGTGTGCATCAATTAAAGCAGCGCATTAATATAGAACGGTGATAAAACTGACTTGGAACTACCTGTGCATTAAACGGGTTTAATGCATGCATCCCTGCCAGCCAATCAGAATGCAGTATTCAGACAGACCATGGAATAAATATCAAGATAAACATAAATAATATTTTGGAATTCAAATACATCTCGAATACAGAAACATTTGATTGTGCCGAATGAGAGACCCAACATTGGTTTCAGTTTCATTTTAGCCTAAATTAATTTGTTTTGGCTTGTCGTTTATATAGCTATAGCTTCTTATATTTTTAATTCTTGTTCTTTCTAAATAGGCTACTGTTAAATTGAAAGGATTTGTTGTGGAGTGAGGGGAACTAAAATAGCCTGATTTTCAATGTTTGGCTGACTATAGTAATTACTATAGTTAGTAATGCTTAACTGCGCGAGTGAGGCGCCGTCACGATCACTTGTTTTTTTTTTATTCCTTTTAAAAGTGGAAACAACTTAGGCCTACACCGTTTCTACACCGGATGCGAGCGGCGCGGCAACTGTCGCATCCAGTGTAGACACGGTGTTACTATACTCCTTCATTTGTGGTCATATGAGAGTAAGACATTATTCAAAACTACTCTAAATATTCCTTTATTTGTGTTCATTCACAATAAAAACAAAACATTGTGCTTTTGTAAAATAAAAGAAACAAACAGGATGCCGCTTTCTCAAGGTATTTTTCTTGGGTCACAGCCATGTATCAATTCAAATTTCATTTAATTGTAATTTAACATAATCTTGTCGGTTAATAATGTTTTAACGAGCATCGGTTGTTGGTTAGGAGAAATAAAATAACCTCTAAAAGTTAATCAGAAAAATAATGATAGGCTAATACAACTGCACCTATTTATGAATAATGCTTGATGATCAAGTATCTAAATAGTCTATAACAAAGTACAAAAAAAAACAACATGAAACTTGTTAATAAAAATAATTTTATGTAGGCTTATACAATTTAATAATAGGCTATATAATAAAGTTTTTGTTTCAAATGGATGAAAGAACAGGCTACTAGCCTATATAATTGCTACCTTGACAATGCAGCCTGTTCATTCATAATAAAATACAGTCAGTCAAACATATGGAAAAAAAACACACTGCTCAGTTTATCAAATCTGTGAAATCTGTGCCGTTAAGCATTATCACCGCACCGCCGTGATGTTATGCAAAACATTTATGAGTAAGGGATATATGATGTAATGAAGTAAGGGATAATCATCTCTTTGCAGCGCAATATTTGACCGGAAGGGTAAAAATGACAGTTATTTTTGTCAGTTACGGCTCGTTAACTCTAGTATTCTGCCCGCTTCAAATCATACACAGAGATGAAATAGTGTGGTAAGATCACATTTATTTAAATGAATTATAGCATGTATTTCAATAAATTATCGAGAAGAGAGAGGAGAGAGATGACAGTTGTGTGCTTTACCTGCATCTGCGCGTCTCTCTACAAACAATTACTCAGCGATTTTTAATAGAAATCGCGGAGAAGAGTTGAAAACAAGTGTATGTGTGTGTGCAGCGCAATCTGCGATCTCTCTCGCTCTCTCTGCGTGTGTGTGCGCGCGCGAGTGTTGTGTGTTGGTTAGTGTGCATCAATTAAAGCAGCGCATTAATATAGAACGGTGATAAAACTGACTTGGAACTACCTGTGCATTAAACGGGTTTAATGCATGCATCCCTGCCAGCCAATCAGAATGCAGTATTCAGACAGACCATGGAATAAATATCAAGATAAACATAAATAATATTTTGGAATTCAAATACATCTCGAATACAGAAACATTTGATTGTGCCGAATGAGAGACCCAACATTGGTTTCAGTTTCATTTTAGCCTAAATTAATTTGTTTTGGCTTGTCGTTTATATAGCTATAGCTTCTTATATTTTTAATTCTTGTTCTTTCTAAATAGGCTACTGTTAAATTGAAAGGATTTGTTGTGGAGTGAGGGGAACTAAAATAGCCTATAGCATAGCTATGTTTATAGTGTTTATGCTTGTAAACATTTCACATTTCTGTACGTAATAATAAAAAGCTACGGTGACCGTTAGGGGGCATCTTCGGTTCACTTAATTTTGTCGTGGCCACGACATAATACCTCGTGGGAATGTGATAATATGTCGTGGCCACGCGATGTGAAGTCGTGGCCTCGAGATGCTATGTTGAGGGAACAACATCCATTTCTCGTGGCCACGACTTCTTATGTTGAGGGAACGACATATTTTTCTCGTGGCCACGAGTTTAATGTGTAAACAAAC